ATTCTGGCCCTTTGTTACCCTTGTAGATTCCAGAAAAGCCAATATTACAGCTTTCTATAGATAAGCACTGGGAACAAGGAGAAAGTCTCATCATCTTGATTTCAGTTCCTCCTTTACCAAGTCTTCTTGCCACTTATGAGAGGCTGATGCCTCTAAGGGTGGAGAGCTTCTACAGGTAGAATTCTAACCTTCCCCCTCATTATTTCTCCAAAATTTTAGAATACTTTATAGTTTTCCTCAAACTGGGAACCTGGAATATTTAGACTGGAATCTGAATTTTAATTCTGACTTTGACACTAACTGGCTGTATGAGCTTGGGCATGACCTGGGGCTCAGGTTTACTCATTTTAAAATGACTTAAAAAGAGAAAATCCGGTGGCAACTCTTTTCTAGGTTTACAATTCAGTGTTTATGTATCATGACCTCTGATAAAAGTCAATATACTGTTAATTAGGGTAGAAAGTTGTACTGTATATGTCATAAGTGAAGATATTCACTTTTCCTTGTGCTGACTTTGAAATGTAGTACAAAGATTTTTTTAAAAAAAAAACTCTTTATCAACTACAATATTAAGATTGTATTTGACCTTAGCAACTGCAGTTCTGAGGATTGGATAAGATCCTGGTTATGGTCTTCCCAGGCACGAACATTCATTTTCCATACTACATAGATCACCCAGCTTGGGTTGGTCCACAGATCTTTTTCTTGCGCATTTCTTTCTGGGGATGAATGCAATTGAGCAAGCAGATAGGGTCTCGGGGAGAGATCCACAAAAGTCATGAGAGTCATCTTACCCCCAAAACTTGCTACGACTTTAGGGACAGCTCTAACGGCTGTGTGACTTCTGAACCTTCCCCTGGCTTAGAGTCCACATCCATAAAATAACACCTATCTTGCAGGGTTACTGTAAGAACGAGGATAGAGGTAGGGTTAACACCATGGCAGTGTATTAAAAAAGCACATGGGGAGGAGCGGGGAAGCCAATTATGTCCTTACTACCAATTTCCTCTATTCCATATTAATTTAAAAACATCAAGAGGTTGAGCCTATGTTGTCCGGATCGGGTAAAAGAAAAGAAGGGAAAAAAAAGGGTTATAGCAAGTTTTGACATTTTTCTCAGCTCATTTTATTCTCTGCAATTGAGAGTGTCTCGTGGGCGGCTTCAAGTTCTAGAACTGGAGTTATAAAATAGCTGGGTTCCAGTCCTGGCTCTGCCCCTTACCAGCTGCATGATCTCGATTGGTTTCTCAACCTCTCCTAATTCCTGGCTACTCCAGATAGATAGGATTTCCTAGCTGGGACTGACCATTTTCCTCTCTCAGTTTCCTGATCAGAGGGGCGTGAAGGCCATCGGGGATCCTCCGGCCCAGCAGCCGCTCGGGTGCCAGACGAGCCTGGAAGAGAAGGAGGCCTGCGGAAGGAAGTAGGGCGGGCCTGGAATTCCCGCCTCTGGAGCGTGCGCGCTCACGCACGCACGCACGCACGGCACGCTGCGGAAGCGCGTACGCAGGCCCAGCCCTCGTCGCCGCCGCCATTTTACCTCCTGGTTCCGGCCGCACGGTGTAGGCTGTTGTAGCGGGAGGGGTGGGGGCCCTCCAGAGTTAAGTAGCTGCCGTCGACTGCGCCGATAAGGCCGCCGGCTTCTCTTTTTCACTTCCTGCGCAATCGCACGCTCGAAGATGTCCAAGCGGCACCGGTTAGACCTGGGGGAGGATTACCCCTCCGGCAAGAAGCGTGCGGGGACCGATGGGTAAGCCAGGCCGGGGGCGCGAGGCAGCGGCTCGGGCTTTGTTGGGCGTCCCGGCGGGGAGCGGGCCAGGGCCAGTTTGGCGGAGTGGGGCCCGGAGCCCGGCCCTTTGTTTCCCTTTGGGCTCGGTTTACTAGCGGCGGGTCGGGGGAGAACGGCGCCACTCCGGGCACTCGGCCGGGCAAGGGCGCGGGGAGATGTGTTGCGCGGCCACCGCCCGGCCCAGTCGGGAGAGTGAAGAGGCCTGTGGTGGCCACGAGGGCGCCTTTCTCCCCGGATTGAGCCAAGCAAAAGTCACTTGGAGGGGAGCGGGCGGGAGGAAAGCGCGGACCTCGTGGCCTGGGTTCCCGGGTGAGGCCTGATGCCCAGGGCGGGGCTGGGGGTGGGGAGTGCGGCGGGAGTATTGGCTTCCGAGGGCGTCAGGCACTTCTCGGGGCGGAGCGGCCGGGGAGAGGACCTCGGGGGCCGGCGGGGGCCCAGCCGGGAGAAAGGAGGGCGGGCGGGCAGTGAGAGCCGCGCGTGGGTCCTTGGCGGCTGGTGTGGGGGTGGCGGGAGTTGAGTGAGGCATGCGGGCGGGGAAGGGAGAGGAGCGGGCCTGCGGGGAGAGGGGAAGACGTGGACTTGATCCGAGGGGCAGGGAGGCTGGTGGTTCGGGGCCGCTGCTTTCACACTTTGGCGGGAGAGCGCGTGCCTCCGTCCATTCAAACAGTACAAAGTAGACACTAGGCAAACTTCCGCTTTCTGCCCACGCTCCCGCCATCTCCTTTATTTCCTGCCTTGGCCCAAACAGTGGCTGTTGGGCATGCCTGGGATAGGAACTAGAAGGCATCGTTTTTGCCCATAAGTTCTTTTGGATTTCCACCCGTCCCGCCTTCGTTCTTTTGAAACAAGAAGACCCTTTGCAAAAAAAAAATGTTTTTTGGTATTTCTGGCAGAATATCGCCAGTGGAGAGTTTGAGAGTCGAAATACCACAGAGACTCGTGGTGTTTCAGATTCCTTTCCCTTATAGCGTGTCTTAAAAGGTACCGATGAATTTAACAGTTGCATCAAAATCATTTCTTGTTCAGCGTGAACTTTTGTACCTGAAGTAAAGGTATTTATTTGGATAATTCAAGCAAAAACACAAAAGTCTGGGTATCCAACTGCTTTGCATAGTTTTATGGTTTAATTGTGTGTATGTGTTTCAGATCACTGTTTCAGGTCATCTGTGTAACTTTTGTGAGTTTTTGTTCATCCAAAGCCGTGTCTAGAGTATAAGCCCGGGCAGGTTAAGGGTGTACGTTTTGACACCCTCCCTTGTATTGGATACGGGAAGCAGAAGTATTTTAACCGTGTACATTTCTTAGTTTACAATGTTAAACTTTAGTCTTTCTCTCTAGTCTGTCCCTCCCCCAAAAACACACACAAAACTTGAGAGTATTAGAGCTGCTGGTCATGGAGTGTTTAGAATTGGAAGTGATTTTAAAAGAGAGTGCAGTCAACTCCACTTCAGGGATGAGAAAGGGAGACCCAGAGTTGTTAAGGTGGCTTATGCAAATTTACACAGTTCACAGCTGGATTTAGATCCTTGATTGTTTATTTTCATTCTTAGCCTCTTTTTCTATTACAGCACACGTACTATGACTAGTTAAGAGTCATTAAAGTCTCTTTTAGGGACATTTATGATGTGGATCAGTAAAGTGGGGAACACTTGGTTTTTGGTTCCTGTGAAGCAAAATTAATTGTCATCTGGCTCAGATGCAATTGATGGCTGGCTGTATGTGCACCATTAAAATGCTTTTCTTGACATTAGTGGTCCCATTGTACATGGCTTGCTCCCTTTCTCTTGCAGAACAGGTTATCTTCATAGGTCAAAGGTGGTGTGACCTTATGGTTGACTCCCTTGGTTATTATATGACTTCTACCTGTAATAAAGCCCAAGTTCTGAGATATTTTGGAGGGACATTTGTATAGTTATTTCTGTGTCACCTGAATATCATCTCATAAAACGAATTTTCTTTAGCAGTGAGCTTAACACGTTTATTAGTGCTCGGTTTTCCCCCCTGTATATTTTATAACTTAAAAGTCACTTTTGCCCTAGCAGGGATGGAGTATCAGCCCTCAGAATGAAGGGTCCCAGGTTCGATTCTGGTCTGTTGCAGGCTCGATCCTTGGCTCTGTTTGGAGTGCATGTGGGAGGCAACCAATCGATTTGTCTCTCACATGGATGTTTCTCTCTCCCTCTCCCTTCCACTCTCCCTAGAAATCATTGAAAAAAATGTCTTTAAGTGAGGATTAACCCAAAAAAAAATCACTTTTGTTGACTGTCGTGCAGTCTTGAAGATTATTTTTTTAAGCCTTGGTATTAGCAGGTGGTTTTATCTGAGAGGGTACACTGCCAAACATGGCTGTACCATTTCCCCAGTACTGAGAAGGGGAGGTGATTGATTCAGGGGAGATTTCACTCAGATTCAAGCTCCCAAACTATATACAGGATGGGGCAAAAGTAGGTTTACAGCTTTGAACATGCAAAACAGTTTATTCTTGTATTATTTATTAATGTATTATTTTCCATACAAAAAACTGTAAACCTACTTTTTCTCCATCCTGTATAGCTTTATTTATTCCTGGTATATTTAATTTTGGGGTCAGGTGGATAAGTTAAAGGTTTATGATATAAACTGACCTCATTTTTTCCCCCATCGTCCCACAAATTTATACATATACTAACCGAAAAGACAACCTACTGTTGAAGTATGGGGGAAATTTTTTGAAAATAGGGACATTTTTCACTTTGATGTTAGTTTTCGATATTCCTGACGAGAGCTGTTTCTGTTAATTGTGGAAATGTGGAACAAATATGCTAATAATATCTGTAGAGTACATACTGTTCTGTTGAAACTATTCTAGATGCTTTATATATAAAAGCAATCACTACAATCTGATATAGGTGAGATTAACTTGCTCCATACATGAAGATATAAACAAAAAGGCAAAGAATGCCATGAAATTTTCATCTGTCTTTAATCCTTTGATGAACTTTTTAAAAAGATTTCTGCATATTTGTTCATAAATATGAATTATAATATTTAATGTCAGTGGGATGTTTCAGTATGTTTTTATTTACTTGGAAATATGTCAAACTACAAAATAGGACTACATTAACCTTTTCATTGGCTGCATAGTATTCCACTCGTGAAGGTGTGTCATAATTTGCTTAACCAATTTCCTGTTCTTTGATGCTTTGGTAATTTTCCAGTCTATCATTTTGTAAATGAAAAGTATGGTGAACATCCTACGTCTACATATTTGCACACTTACATCCTTAAGAGAAGTTCCTGGAAGGGAGATTACCATATTAAAAAAGCAATGCTTGTGTAAAATAATTCTCATTTTGATTACTAGTTCATATCTCCATTAGCAGTATTCTAGTACCTGTTATTCCATGTGGAATTTTAACATGTTATTGTAAATTTTAAAAAAAACACCTTGAATGATAAGCAGTATTTCATTTAATTCTTGAACTACCCCACAGGGTATATGAGTAACCACTTTTTAAAAAGGAGGAAATAAATAACTGGTCATCTAGTTAGCCTAAGTGCTGAGCTAGGATTGAACCGAGAGAGTACAGAACCACCTGTTCAACAACTCATACTTTCCCCTTGCCAGTATTGTGGCTAAGTGATTATAAAGCACTGTTTTGATAGTTTTAAAGCATTATACCTCAACTAGTATATCTTCATAACAATGAAACTCCTTTATAATAAAAGAGCCTAATTTGGTCTAGCCATGTTGGCTCAGTGGATAGAGCATCAGCCATTGGACCAAAGGGTCCCAGGTTCTATTCCCATCAAGGGCATGTGGTTTGGTTGCAAGCTTCTCCCCGTCGGGGCCCTGGTTGGCTCGTGTGGGAGGCAACCAATCAATGTGTTTCTCTCACATCAATATTTCTCTGTCTTCCACTCTCTCTAAAAAAAATCAGTGGAAAAACATCCTCATGTGAGGATTACAACAAAAAAAGTGCCTAATTAAAATAAAAGTTGCATACGAGCAAGTCTACACATACTTATGAAGCAGTGGCTTTGAACCCTCAACTGACTTAGTTTTTATTTTTCCTTCCCCGTTGACGGTCAACAGTTTGAATCATAAGCAACATTTTGAGATGATTTAATTTGCCTTCTGCAGCTCAGTGCTTCTTTTACTTTTATATCCCAGTTACCCCCATTTCATTTCATCTTTGTGCCTTCAGAATGCATTTTGGGCTTAATAGGTCCTTTAAAAACATCTTTGTTAGCATAGATATTACTGTAACAAAAAACAAGGTGATAATATGATTTACTTTGTCCATCACTCTCTGCTCCCATATTTTATAACCTTGAAAGGTCAGGTCCATATGTTAAGTGCTTGGTGCTGTGCTAGAGATATAGGAGAAAGATGTTAATTAAACTTTATATTGTAGCACCCCCCCCCAACCCCCCCATCGACCTGTGGAGTGCTACAAATGTGAATTGTTTTTACTTAGATCAGTTGTTCTTTAAAGATTCTTTTATGTTCTGTGATTTTTAAAGATATATCCAGTCTTTGGACCATTTGTGGCTACAGTGCTTCTCATTTTGCTGGGCACGTTTCTATTATAAACTGTTCCTCATTCACATTTTTGGGGCAATATAAATGAGCACCTTAGACCAGGGGCAGAATGAGAGAAGCAATGAAAGGATAACTAATGGGATGTTTCAAAGATAGGCTAGGAAGCTCAAGATTTGAATTGATACTTCATCTTGTATGTTTATTAAGATTTCCTTTTTCTGCCAGATGGGATGAGAGACTTTCATCCCAGGTTATATGTCCTGTGGTGTGCATTGGGATATATGTATGTGAATATAAATAAATTCCCATGGAATAGAATCTATATATATATATAAAAAGCCAGC